TGACGATGTAAAATGTAATATTTTGTTGTATAAAGTCAAATTATTAAAAGTATAACTTTTAATTATTGTTACGTCTCCGTTTGTTAATTGATTTTCCGTAACTTCGTTCCGACGAAACTTAAGCGACACAAGTTCTTTCTTAATAAAAACTGGTTTATTCTTTCCGAATATAACTTTACCGATACACTCAACTTCAACAATCGCGCTAAACAAACGCTGTAACGTCTCTCGTGCTCTCTAACTGCAGTTCAATTACTCACTGTCTACCCACACATTACATTCCCCTCTTTTATATACCAGTCTACCCTCCATCTAGTAATTACTAGAGCATTCGCCAAAGTACAGGATAGTTCTAGAACGTGGCGTCACAGTAGTCATGTGACTCGATGACGCAACAATATGGAAAATAAATTATTAAACGCAAAGATTAAAGTAGCTACACCTATTTCTGCATTGGCTCAGGATTTCTAGCCTGAAACACCATCCACTATGAAATGTCGAATAGAAAACTTATTTGATTTATACCTATTACCACTACTTCCATGACATTATAAAATCAAGTTCTAGAATCTAACTGGCCAGTTCAACATCAGCCACTTGAAAAATCAACGGGTTATTGTGTAAAGGTACCTTGAGAGGCATACCACGCTCATTTTGAAATAATTTCCAGAGTGAACAGGTGGAATAGTGAACAACAAACTATTCAGTTTGGTTTACAGAATCAAGAAGGGTAGGTAATCCAAGCTAAAGATTATCCACCATGACTGTCTTTGTAAATACATCAGTTAGAAAATGGCAAAGTGGGTAACTCTAGTGAAGAATTTGTCAGCAGAAACTCAACCTGCTATAGAGCATAAGATTCCTGTCAAAACCATTTCCAGAGGATCATCAAGGATGGAACCACCAGTGGATTCACTTGATCACCTGCCCAGAAAAAACTCTCTCAGTGACAGGACAGCCAATGATTACACGGGACAAAAGGCCATCTCATCTGTGTACTTTGTGTCGTGGAGAAAAAATACACTAAAATACTTGGTGAATGGACAGTTTAGTGTTGTGTTTTATTTTTGTATCAGGATTGTTCAAGGGAATTTACAATCCAGGAAAGGGCAGTGTTGTAAGCTATATCTTCATTGTTTTAATTTAGATATTAGCTAGAGGGCACATGATGTTAAGACGGAAAAAAATGTATAAAAGTAGGTCTAGAATTCCTAGAATGTTCTATATGACAAATATTTAGAAGTAAAACATCAGGTATAAATACAAGTGGGTCAGTCAGTTGGTATGCTAGCCAGAAATGTTGCTAGGCACTGGCACACGGGGTCCATTCTCTGATTCTATGTGACAGTGCCCTGAATCCCTAGTTGGTGTCTTGAAAAATATGAACAGAAAACCATGATCAGTATCATACTTAAATGCTGAAAATCCATGCGCCCATAGGTCCAAGCCTCGAATCTTTTAAGTACCTAGCGACACCTCTGATGCTAGCAGTGAATTAATTTTTCAGTTAGTTTGGAGCTAGTCATTCAGTGAAATATTTTAGCCACTGTTAGTTGTCGCGTACATTCTGTTATTCGATCGATTAGTCATGAAGCTGTAGAAGTATGTTTACTTTTATTTCAGTTGTAGTACCATTTGTAAGTTTACTTTTACGATAGCAAGGTATTTCCGTTTGAATGTTATTTGTAAACTTAGATATACAAGTCACAACAGTGAACAAGTGAAGGCAGCTTGTAGAAATGTTAAGGAAGAGATAAATTAGTTTGTTGTCGTTACTTGGATTGGACTTCGAATTATTTTTACCAAGCAATTTAAAAGAGCCTGCCCAACGAAAAACAAAACTTCAACAATACATAATTAAAAAGACTAACATTTGCTGCACAATGCAACATGTCTCCACGACGCAGTCTCAACATGGATAATCTGGACACCAGAAAAATCGAAAACTGTCTATAATACTGCTTGAGACCTGCAAGGAGATGTCTTTGTATCAAATCCAATGTAAATTCGATGACGAGGAACCCACTTTGAGACTAATAATGGCTGGAGACGGCTTGAATGGGTAATGAAGAAAAACTTTAATATAACAGCAAATGTACAACGTTTCGACAAGGTTTTGTTATTCCATGTATAACTTTTTGCTTCTCTCTTAGAATTTACAATGACTAAAACCAACTTCATTTTCAACAACAAACATTTCCTTCAAATAGACGGTTTAAGTATGGGCAATCCTGTTTCGCCCGTTCTTGCCAATATATTCATTACCAAAATCGAAACACAAGCCATACATTCTGCACTTCATCCCCCACTATACTGGTACAGATATGTTGGACACTTTTGCTGGCTTCACTTCTACAG